TCAACAGTGATAGCGACATCAACACAATAAAGACATCACGATGTTAGTGACATCTTGATTAGATTAGATCAACTAAATATTTTCTACTAAATATTTTATCGATTTATCTTTAATTTTGGGGCAGTTGTGAAATAAACAAATATCAGGCAGGCCCTCCGTCCTGGAAGGTGACAACGTTGACGACAGCAGTGAAAGGACTCTTCGCATTTAATGCAACTTAGTGTGTTATGTACTAGTCATATACAAAATGTACTGTGCTGGTGGAGTGAGTCTTACCTGTGAGGATTGGCATAAACAAGTCTCTGGTGCTCAGAGTCAGTTTATTAATAATTCAAACTTCATACACTGTTGAATAATGCTTTCAAATTGTACAAGGTTTACAGTCAAAACTTTATACAAGTGGTAGAGGTTGTGGATCAGAAATGTGTAAATGTGTGGGTTTGAATCTCACCACTGGAAATTGTAAGAAAGGTGTTTCATTTTTTTGAGGTTGTTTCTTTGGCAAGAGTTTCCACAGAATAAAAATGTTGCAACCAGCTCCACATCATATTATTTTATTTATTTATTCTGAAATTGTTTCATGGTGTTAAGAAATTCCAAAAATCATTTCGGCCTTTGAAATTTGTCTTTAATTAACTTTTTGCGTGATGCAGTTCACCAACATGTTGCATCCCTCCACTATTCAGCTTCCCTACCTTTACACTAAAATAGTACAGTCTGATTTCTCCCATCATGCTTTGCCAAATTGCAATCTGTAAAGTGGAAATTGTCTGTTATTCTTGCAGTGTGGAATAATTGAATGTGTACCTGATTGCAAATCACGAGACCAGCTTGGCAAACAGACAGACTTTGGAATGTATGAATACTTTACAACGATATACGGTGATGAAACTACACAAAAATTCCAAAAGGTAAGATTCTTTTCATGTTAGTGTGGCGTATGTAATATAACGTCTTCTAAGTCTATATCAGATAATTTATGCCTTTATTATGTTTGTACAGGCAAGACGTAATTTTATACAGAGTATGGCAGCATACAGTGTTATTGGTTTTTTACTGCAAATAAAAGACAGACATAATGGCAATATAATGCTTGACACAGAGGGACACATCATACATATTGGTAAGTATATCATGCTTAAATTGAAAACTCAGAACTCAGCAATGGCTGTTAATCGATAGCATAGAAGTAAATGTTTAAACATACAGGTAAACATACTAGTAGGAATGTAAGAACATGCACAACTACTAAATCACTAAATGATTCCACAATAGAACATGTTACGTGCATTAGGTAGTAAGCTCAACGAATAAGTTAAACAGTTTGTTAATTCCATGATGTTATTTAGTTTCAAGGCGGGATATAGTTTCCTTCTCGACATGCCTGAGTTGATTCTTGTTGCCATTGACAACACATACACAAGAAATAGACATACCTGTAATGTAATGTCCACTAGAATTAGAATGAAGTGAAACTTTATAAAAACGATTTTTCTGTCTAGTTTGTCGTAGACACTCAGCAAACCAATCACCCAATCGACAAA